AAAGAAGGTGAGGTAAAGTATATAAGTGGAAGGTGAAATGGCTCCAACTGGAAAATAGGTGGGCAGGGAAGTTTCATGGCATAATAATATTTGGCTTTCTTTTTTTTTACTTCACCCAGGAAAGATGTAGTCAGTTCCCCTACCACTGGGACAAATTACCTGACACCCACAATACAAAGGAGGAGAGTTTTATTCTGGCTCAGAGTTTCTGAGGATTCAGTCTGTAGTCAGCTGGTTGCCAGGCAAAACGTCACAGCCCAAAGATGTAGTACAACAAAGCCTCTTAGCTCATGATGACCAAGAAGCAGAGGCAGGGAACAGTCGCAGACAGGAAGTGGCCAAGATGCTTAAATCTGGTTATTTAGTGTCCAAGGACATGCCTCCAAGACCCACCTAGACACATGCAAAACAGTGTCTCACTAGTCCCTTGGACAATTCCTTAATCCAGTCAAATTAACAGGTGTTGATTAATGGTCACAGACTGACTTAAAGATCTTAAGCAATAAATGGGGTGAATACTGGAAAGAGTGAAAATAGAGCCCTGTTAGGAAACTGTAACAATAATCCTGGACAAAGAGGCAACATCTCAGCTAGGGATGGCACCACAAGAGTGTACTGTTGGAGTCGAGATGTGTGCTGACAGTACAATGAGCAGGAAGTGGCAGATTGGTTTTATTTAGCATCATAAAAAGGAGGAAGTCTAGAATGGAATCTATGTTGCTTTTAACAAGTTGGATGACAATGTCATTAAGAGGGGAATTGTTGAACAATGCACTGGGGTTAGTAAGATCAAAAATGAAAAATGTTGCCTAAGATGCTTGCTTGCTTGCTTGCTTGCTTGCTTGCTTGCTTGCTTGCTTGCTTGCTTGCTTTTTACATAGTTAGTGCAGGGTCTCACTACACAGGTCCTCCTGTTTCCACCTCCCCAGTGCTAGGATTACAGGCTTGCACCACCAAGCCCAGTTTCAGTGTTCAGCTTGGTGCTTCTGGGGTTCTGGCGCCAGCATGGCCTGCAGTGCCAAGGATTGAACCCAGGACCCTGTGCTTTCCAGGCAAGGGGTTAGACTGCTGAGCTATCTTCCCATCCCCAACTTTATGTTTAAGATGTCCATGAGACACACAGGAGAGATTTGAATACCTTGTGGATGTATAAATCTAATTTCAGGAGAAGTATCACCTAGATATAAATTAAAAAGGCATTACCACCTTACAGTTGGAGGTATGGATGGGATCCTATGGTGAAATATAACATAGAAGAAAATGAAATACAGGATCCTGTTCTGATAATCTGGTTAGAGATAACAAAAAAGAGACAAAAACTAAGATATTGAAGGTGAAGGCCAGTGAGTTAAAAGTAGGAATATATAACATCTCATGGGACCTGAAGAAAACAGAGAATGGGTGAAGGAGACTAACCTGTTAATTGTAGCAACAGCTACTGTCACATGAATCAGTAGAAGGAGACATCGCTCCATTAATAATCTTACTATTTTTTTCCATCTCAACTCTATTTGCTCTTTCCCTGAAGCTCAGAAATAGGATTCTGTCCCTTTCTATTACAGAGAGAGAAGAGACAAGGATAAAAAGCTGCCTTTAGTTCCATCTATCTTCCTGCCCATGTCCTTGCTTTCTTCATTTTCTTCTAAAATAAAGTACAAAATGCTGTCCCTTTCTACATCTGCCTCTGGCTCCTTATGTATTGCTGTGTAGCCTTCCCACACCCTCCTTGGGAAGCATAATTCTCATCACTCTGTTTTTTGATGTTCAGTACCAAAGATTCTGAGAATTGGACTCTAACTTAGAGATTTCTTGACTTACAAAAGTTTAAGAGTTCATGCTTGTCTACTTCCAAAATTTCCCTTCAAACATTGAGTGTCATGCAACCAAATGTAATTTTTCCATTTCATAAATCAGACCCACATGTGCAAACATCATATTGTCTCCTTAGTGTGAGAATCTGAAAGAGAAAAATGGAATCTGAATGGTACAATAGATACTGGCAAAGGGAATGAATGTATTCAAAAGAAAAGTTACTGAGTTGAGTAGAAGAACAGGAGAGGCAGAGGGGGGAAGAGATTTATATGCGTATGTAAGCAGGATGATTTGGACAACTGTACTGTGCACTTCTGCTGTCTATGGAAAGAAGTAGTTAATGCTTAATTTGTTTTGTCTCCTGTTTTAATTGTTTCTGCTTTTTGTCTTCTTAATTTCTTATACATTTCTTTCTTTTTTTCTTTCTTCCAATTTTGTATGTATGTATCTGGTAATATGAATAACTAGTTGGTAGACAGCACTGCATTACAGCAAATATGTGAATTTGTATTTGTTAAGTGAAATTCTTTAATACTATTTCATAATAAAAAAATGATAATTTTTCTATTTTATACTCAGAAATCTTTATATTTATGCTTTTAGCTATTTATTTCTAAAACTGTGCCAATATTGTGTCACAATTTGATATTACTAATTAGTACCTTCATAAATTTGAACGCATAAACTGATAAACTTCAAAGAAACCCCAAAATGTGATGAAAAAAAGGAAAGAAAAAGAAAAGAGAGAGAGAGAAAAAAATATATATATATATATCAGAATTTGCAAATAAAGAACATGCATATTTAGCTGAGAATACCAAGCTAAGTGTCACAGGTGTGCCCTGGTACCTTCTTCCTGTTCATAGTAAACTGTGAAAGGGAGGGGGGTTAAATTGGAAAAAAAAAACTTTTAAGCAATATTTTTAATAATCTATTACAGCAGCCGTATGAAATTACTACAGTCTCTAGGTAAGCACGATACTATCTCATATCCAGAAATGCCAATTTATATATGTTCTGCCTACAATAAAGATTTGGCAGCATTTTATGTTATCATTAGATACCTGATCAATAGATATTTATTTTGATTTTTACAATATTTTTAAAAACAGGACATGTTCTTATCTCCCCTGAATTTGTTTTTAAGGATTAGCCATAAATAATAAGAAAAATAAATTAATTTTACCCTAGACCTCAAGTTTTCAAATAGGCCTATCAGTGACTCATGCATCATCCTTTTTCTTGGTTTGGGTTTGCTTTGTTTTTTAAGACATAAATTTCCTGGTCTTATTTCTGAACTGATTAACTGGGGTTGAGGATTGGATGCACATGATTTCCAACCCCTTACCATTTATTGTGATAACCCACTAATTTCAGAAAAACCATTGAAATCACAGAGCACAGCTGAGTTTTCGCCCCATTTTCTGTGCAGATATACATTAGGTAATTTTATTTTATTTTATTTTATTTATTTATTTATTTATTTATTTATTTATTTATTTATTTTGCGGAACCAGAGGATTGAACTCAGGCCCTTGTGCTTGCCAGGGAAACACTTATTCCACTGAACCATCTCCCTGGCCCCAATTAGGTAAATTTTATATAAAACATTGATTCTATTTCACAAGTAGATTTTTAATCTGCTTTATAGTTGGCGAATCAGTGTTGAAGGAAGTTATACAAATTCTCCAAGCCAGTAATTAGAAAGAACTACATTTGAGTAAGTATTTACTTGATTTTCAAAACTTGTAATCCAAGAATCAGCATCAAACAATGGAGTCAGCATAGAACACTGTTCTTATCACGTTCCCATATACATTTTTGCTAGATAAACAATGCTGGGAAACTTGTTTAACTTTTCATATTTCATTTGCTCTATTTGAAAAAGTGTACGATAAGTGTCTCTCGAGTAATCATTATGAATATTGAATTAACTTGTGCACAATAATACTTTGCCAACTGTACTTACAGTGCCATGCACATGAGATTGATTTCACTGCAGGATTTAACTCTTACCTCTGTCTTAATTGTTCAGTAAGCAAAATAAGCCATGTTATTTGACAGAAGCGTCAGAGCTCACAAGTGCCACGTCTACTGTCAGCTGTTTCTATTCTCGTGGACTGAAGACTTCCTGAGTGGTTCCTTCTGGAGCCAGATGGGACTGTAGCTCTGCTGCAGGCTGGACAGTCCCAGCCGTGCCGTTTACTAAAAGTAGAGTCATGAACTAGTTTCCCCGTGGTTTTGGTCAGTCATCTGTAAGATACCAGTGGCTTGAGATTTAAATTACAATAAAGCATAATTCTTACAATGTTTTTTTTATTATATTGTGTTAGCAGGAAAAGGCACACCCTCTGTGAGGCTGTTCTGGCACTGCCTTGGGACAGTAACAGAGGCACAAGGCAGAAGAACGCCCGCTGTGCAGACGCACAGCAGAGCACGGGAAAGCCCAGGACCAATTTCTGCCATCTGGATCCTGACCCCCACTTAACTTTGCTCTCATTTCTAGGTCAGCAAAATGACTTCAGCTATGGCTACTCTGCAGCATGGTCTCAATAAGGAGCCTCCAGAAGGGCAGGGATGCTGTAGAGCATTTCATTGCTTGCCCCATCTACAATGTGCCAGAAGTGCATTCAGAGTAGAAGAAGGGATGTCTCTTTTGGCACATGCCAGTGAGCGGTTATGAGGGCAACCATCAATTATTTAGTAACATTAAATAACTTAGAATGTTCTCTTCTGCCAATTTAACAAGGACAACAATGGTTGCCGCTGAATGAATTCCTGAGTCAGAAATTATGCTGGACCTTTTCTGTGGGTTATCAGTAGCTGCAGAATTCTGAATGAACCACACCTCATATTGTACCTGAGGAGTCGAGGCACAGAAAATTAAGGAAAGTAAGGATTTGAGAAATCTAGGTGGTTGTACTGAAGTGGAGTCTGAACACCTGTAAAACCCCAATCCTAAGGCTGCAGTGTGATATCTCCAGTGGAGGCACTTTTGTTGAGCACTGTTAGTATTTCTATCAAGTACCATTTCTGGTGATGAGAAACAGAAAATGAGGAGGGCAGGCAGAAAAGACAAACAGGTAGATGACTCTGTGTGTGTGTGTACAGTGATACTTTGTGACCTTTCCAGCCATGCCATGGATCTCACTGATGCATCTCTTGTGCTATCCTCTGTCTTGGCCCAGGTGTGCAGAGCAGCTAGTTCACAATCAGCTCCCAACCACCAGCATCATCATGTGCTTTGTGGATGAGGTGTGGTCCACTCTCCTGAGGTCTGTTCACAGTGTTCTCAACCGCTCCCCGCCACACCTCATCAAGGAGATTCTACTAGTAGATGACTTCAGCACCAAAGGTGAGAAAATCACTCAGCCTTTGTCCTAAAATGTCAGCATTTGGCAGAGGACAATTTTAATTTTGATGGAAAAATATATGCTAATCCAATGAAGCATACACATTGTAAAATGGAGTCTTAGAAGCATGAGTCTAACTATCTACAGGAGATGAAAGTCATCAAAGGCCTTATTGGACTAGCTGTCTTCTACTTCCATTAAGCTGTGACTTTCTTGCCATATGGGAATAATTTTTATAAAGATAGCTTCTTGCAGATGGGAATTTTGAGATATGTGAGTCCAGAAGATATTTCTTATAATTCCACATCTTTTTCATGAAATCTATGAAATAAATGTCCCACAATTAATAGAATACTTTTCCAGCTGTAATGGCTAGATTACGCTCTGTGGAGTCACAGAATGGAGCCCTATAGCTTCTTCCTCAACAGCAAGGAAGGCTGTATGTTTGTTTAAGAGTGGAGAAGCAAATTTGCAAGAAGACCAGAGAAGTATACTTTTACGAGAGTTCAAAATCAGAGTCCACCATGATCTTTAGGTTGGTTTTTGTTTACTACAATGAAGACTCTCACCATTTAGATTAACAAATCATTTCTAGATACAGGCGTTCTCACACAGCCAATGATGACCATGCTACATATGCTCAAAATGGAAGGAATCCATTGCATTTTCATTTAGAAAACAGCAGATTCATGGCAGCATGACCAGAGCAGCGAGGCTGTGTCTGTGCCCATGGTGATCCATCGAGTGGTTTCTTTAGCCTCACAATTCCGTCCATAATCATACTGAGCTCATGAAGCAGGGAATGCCTGAGGAAAACTAACTGAAAACTTTAAGATGTGGCTTTGAAATCATAACAGAAATAATATATAGTTACTAACCAGGGGAAAAATCCCTTTATGAGGTGGACAACTGCATCTCATGGGACCTGCAACTTATAAAATTTTCAGTGTTCTTTTGAAGAAATATAACATCAAATTTGTAGGCGAGTGAGCTACAAAATATTGCTGGAAGCCATTCCTGCTTGGAAGAAATCCTAATAGCATAATGATACTCATAGGCAACTGGAAGCCATGGAAATATGTCCTTAGTCCCTCCCCAAAAAACGTTCTCCTTTAGATGGACTGCTCTGTGACTGTGCAAGAGGCGAGGACAGCCCGAGGGAGGGGAAGCCAGAGTGAGGGCCCTGAGCAGCTGCAGGGGTATCAGCTTCTCTCACAAGTTCTCCCGTTTGCACCCACTGCTTAGCCTCTCCCCAGGATTCGGAAGTCAGGGAGCTTAGAATATTGAACCCAGATGAAATACTTCTAAGATAATGACATCAGGTCATGAAATTATGGCTCATGGAATAAAACGTAGTGAACTATAGTACCATCATAGTGTTTGGAATTTCACATCCTAGAAGTACTTCTGGGACAGACCTAATTAATTAAAGGGCTTCTTTGTTTATTTTTATAGACTACCTAAAAGAAAATTTGGATAACTACATGTCTCAATTTCCAAAAGTTCGGATTCTTCGCCTTAAAGAGAGACATGGCTTAATAAGAGCCAGGCTGGTGGGAGCCCAGAATGCAACAGGTCAGAAGCTATTTCTCACTGTTTTCACTTCTTTTTGCTTTAAATTAAATTGTTTTCCATACATAAAGGAAACTTGAAAGAATTAAATAATGATCAGCCATACATAGATCAGTTTATTCTAATTTCTAACCTTTTGGAATATGTGCCTCATTACACACATATACAGACACAAAAACATTTCTACGCATTTTTTTCTGAACCTTTATTTTTTAAATTTTTTTTTCATATATATGTATTAGGACAGGGTCTACAGGGTCTACAGGGTCTCACTGCATAGATCAGACTTGTAGTGATCCTCCTGTTTACAGCCTCCCAAGTGTTGGCATTACAGGCATGTGCCACCATGCCAGGTCTCAAACATTGTCCCAGCATGCCCCAGGGATGGGGCCAGCACCACACACTGGCAATCGAACTCGGGCCCTGGGTCTACCTAAGCAGGGATTTTAATCCACTGAGCTATTTGGCCAACCCTTCTGAACCTTTAAAAAGAAATTTACAGAAATTATAACACAGTACTGCTAAGTATTTATTTATTTAATATTATTATTATTATTTTTTTTTGGTGGTACCAGGGATCAAACTGAGGACCTTGCACTTGCCAGGCAAGCACTTATTCCACTGAGCTATCTCCCTGGCCCCTACTGCTAAGTATTTAATAGGCATTACTGAAGAATAAGAATATTCTATTAAATAAACATAACTTTCATACCTAAATAACATCTATAGACACGTTTCAAATTTTCTGATTTTTCCTGAAATGAGTTTTTTTTCATTTATGTATTTGGTATAACTCACTCTTGTAGTGATCTTTCTGATTTCAGCCTCCCCAGTGCTGGGATTACAGTCATGCGCCACCACGCCCAGACTCGTTTGCTGGCCCAGGGTGCCCTTGGGGTGGGGCTGGCATGGCATGCAGGACGGGGATTGAACCCTGGTCCCTTAGCTTGCCAAAGCAGGCACCTAAAACAATTTTTTTAATCTAAGTATTGTACTAATCATGTGCTTGATTGTTTTATTTCTTTATTCATTCAATTTAGAATAGTTAACTCTGTATACTGTGTTAGCATATTACTATATCTTTAATAGTTCAGCTCCTTTGTTTGGTATAATTGACCATGTTGTAAAATTTTCTGTTTGCTTTTGTTATTCAGAGGATAAATGGTATGATACATAAATGATAAGAAGCGTGTACTTCTTATCGCATCATATCCAGAGGTACGTAGTGCCAGGCTATCTCTTAGTTAACAATACTGAAAATTTGTTTAATATTTTTACAGCTGGACCTTTTAGTGGTTGTAGAAAGTGGTTTGCTGGTTAATGTGTTTTTAAGGAGCATAAAAAATAGTTAAGAAAAAACAGAATTGATGCAGAATTTCACTGAACAAAATGATTGGAATTCAAAAATGGTTGTTGTACAGCAAACTGTTATCTTCAAATTAGTTGTTCAGATTACCAGATATAAGCATGTAAAATTGGTCAAAAATTATAAAAATTAAAAAGGAGAGAGAAAAACATATAAGCATTAGCTTCTCCTTTCAATAGACCAGCAGATAGCAGCAGCACAAGTAGCCAGCTCTCCTGTGTGTGCACATATATATTTCTTCTTCCTTCTTTCTATTTCCTTCTTTTCTCTTTTTCCTCATCCAAGTTGTTCCTTCTCTTTTAGCAGTTTCTTTTTATTTCACACTATCTGTTGTACTTTTCAGATTTTATTTACACTTTCAGGTTCTTACACTAGGGAGACAATACGACGTCCGTGAGAACGTAAGCATTTCTTCACACTTTACCCAGCAGCTCAACATCCACTAACGATCATTGGCTCAGATGATTATCATAATGGCGATATGAACTTGTTTTTCTGCTATCCTTTCTACTTTTGTTAAAGCTGGTATTCCTTTGTGATGAAGCAATGCCCTGTCCCCTGTCCTTCTCCTTCCGATGTGTCTCCTCCTAGCCCTTTGATTTGATCCTCACCACCGCAGTAGGACACAAGCACAATCAGTTTCTGATTTTATACGTAAGAAGGCAAAAGCATAGAGAGGTTGAGAGCACCCGGATTCCCTGGGCTGGTCAGTGGTAGAGCCCTGCTTGGCACCCTAGTCACTGTGGCTCCAGAGTCTGCCTTTACCAATCACAGTTTGCTGCCTTAGTGTATATTTAACACTCACTCTGCCCCAGAAGTGCTGGTGTTGCTGCCTTTCGCTCACTTTGGCTCAAGCATATTCCAATGCTGAGCTGCCTGCTTGCTGGAAATTTACCACACTGCAGCTTGTCCTTCAGTTCAGAACTACTTCTTCCCTTGAGTTGCTTACAATTTTCTTTTGTGTGTGTTGGTGGGGGGGGTGGTCTATAGTGTGTTCAGGGTCTCACTGCTAGGTCGGACTCATAGTGATCCGCCCGTTTACGGCCTTCCAAGAGCTGGGATTACAGGCGTGCACCACCACTCCCAGTCTCAATGGCTGGCTCAGCCTGCCCCGCCCCCCGGGGTGGGGGTGGGGCCCAGCACGGCAGGCCTAGGGAACAAACTCCCGGTCCCTGCGCCTGCCTGCAGGCACTTCAACCTGCTGGACTATTTGGTTGGCCTACAATTTTCTTGTTGTAGAAACTTTAAGTGAACAATGAATTCATCATACTGGAAATAGAAGCTATGATAGCTAAGATTCTTAACGCGAGCCTGTGTTTGGAGAAGTTAAATGGCACTCCATGCTTAATTTCCTTTGAAAAGTAATTAGCTACGACTGATTCACGAATAGGGCACACAAAACATACTTTAGGTAACTCCTGATATAAAAGAAGAATTTGTCAGACAAGTCATACAGGAAACACAAACATTCTAGTGCCGACAGAAGTGGATTTAGTTTATTCAAAGTAAAGAAAAAGGTTCATTATGGCTAGTGGGTACTGACCACTGAGAGTGTTATGATATTTTCTTGGACATACAAAGGAGATTTTTGTGCAGTTAGATGCCTCATTTAAGGAGTACAGATGTCAGGTTTTTTTTTTTTTAATTTTTATTTATTTTTTTGTGTGTGTGTGTGTGTGTGTGTGTGTGTGTGTGTGGCCAGCTCAGCCCACCAGGGGGCGGGGCTGGCTGGCATGTGGT